GCTATCCTTTGCCGATAAATCACGTTGCTCTCAAGAAGGGCTACTTCCCTAGAGCTCTCTCTTTGGAAAGTGGTCAATTGTAAAGTTCTGCATATCTATTTGCGTTGGCTATGGAGACAATAAAAGATTAAGTTCGTGGACCCGGACTGAACCGATGCGAACATGGGAATTTGGCACTATTTACCCTTTCTACCTCACTTTCCCAAGGATGGGAAATGTTTTTTCCTAAATCTTTCTTCGACGATGAATGTCACAAATTCGCTCTTGGAGGTAGTCTGAGCGTAGTGCACGAAGACGCATCCATTTGGTGAAAGCATCATGGCGCACACACCACAGACTGTGGACTGACGGTGGTGGGGTAACAGCGATTGATAGATGGCGAGAAAAGACGTCTAGAGGTTCTTTGAACGTAACTGTATCAATGCGATGAAGCTACCACATCTATCTACCTACTGGCTATGTTATCCGCTTCGTCATAATTCACGTTGTGGCAGGGCTATCGCGAAGTATCTCGTCCATGAGTTCACATTAGTCGCCATCAGATCACTTTATAGGGCCTGCGCCATTGTCGCGCACTTTCGAGTCGCGACAACGGCACTCTCTGATACTCTTGAGTTAGTCTACCCCACCCACTTAACAGCTTCTTCGACACGACTTCTCCTGGCTTGTTACTTTAACCCTTTCGGCCTGGCGGTGGCAATTGCCACCATCAAATTCAAATGTCTTGCATTACCGCTGAACAGCATATTTTTTCTACCCACTGCTAGAGGTTGCTTCAGACAACCTTCCCCTTCCTAATTATGCTTTGAACCTGCCATTTTATTGTGTGTTGCTGTTAGCATTACAAGTATTTGTGTACAAGTGCAACAATGAATCGGCGCTGGTCTCAGCAAGCTGGTAAGTGTCAATCATTTCTAAAATACTTGACATATATTCATTTCTTATCAAAAACGTTAGATATAATGTTGTGCAAGATCATAAACTTTTTCGACATAACTAAGAAATTTGGAATTGTTTCGACATAAGCTAAAAAACTAAGAAGGTGGGCCAATTTTCAAAGCTTCCTAGTTTCTTAGTTTGTGATCGAATAGCTTCCAAATTTCGCTATAATGATATTTATGTGCTCACATAGTAAGAAGAAAAGTTTTTCTTTGCAAAAAAAAATCAGTTCCGTAAGGATTAAATGAACCTGTACATGACGGCGGAAACTATAGCTGAAGAGCAAAAAGAAAAGCAAGTATTGGGGAATTTGTGTGATAGACCGAACTCAGAGGTCCTCTTCGATAGGATCTTTCCCAAGATAACTCTCTACGTAGTGTCATTTAAAAATGTTCGAAAAGCTATCCGTATGAGAAAAAAAACGAAAACTCACCATTTGACAGCATCTGCATGTCTGCGGCAATCGCAAATACTGTACCTAAGTCATCAATCTCGAAAAAATGACTAGGAGACAGGCTGTTGTTTACTCGATCCAACCACCAAACTCGCACTCCCGATTTCGAGTTATCAACCTATGAAGCAAGCGAGATAAAATTCAGTGTACTGAAAACACATGAGAAACGAACAAAACACTACATGGGAAATATCTCTAACAGTCTGTTGGTTGTATTGCCACCAGGGTGTTTGTAGGGACCATTCTCGACTCAATTCACATACCGAACGACATGAAGAATCAGTGTTCCCCCTCACACTACTTTTTCTGTGTCAATACAAAAGGCCCCGCCACACATTAGTGGCGTGATGGTTTTTTGAAGTATTTCAAAACAGAAGGAAAATGGGATACCCATGAAGCAGCCACAACTATTCTCTCCATCGATGCTGTGCCACAGAGAGTTCCAACAGAACCATTGATTCCCTCTAAAAAAAGCATTTTAAAGCTTAACAAAGCATATTTAAATATGCAAGAAATTGAAACTTGCCTAGGGAGTTAAGAATGCGAATTTTCGGATTTTCAGCTTCAACACGGTAAACAACAACCCTGCCATCGGAACCGCCGCTAAGGAAGAGGTCAACTGAAAGCAAAATAGTCACGTGAATTCACATCCAGAAATATCTGTAAGCGGATGGCGTTGATTATTCGTATAACTTCGTATAACTGTTCCTTGTCCGAATTTTGACCCTTCTCGCCTTTTCGAGTTTTTATTCGGCTCTAGGAAAATGGCAAAGCCATAACCACGCGATCATCGCAATTTGCTGGAACTCGTGAGCTAGTCGCTCAGAAATGCAGGAAGCGTGAGTTCAAAAGGTGGAACAAATCGTTTCTTGGGGTTGTCGTCGTGTTCCCTTGAACTAGTTTCTCTCGCACACAAATGTATCAGGGGCAGGAAAGCGAGAGGCCGATGGAGTGTTTTGCCAGTGCTACACGGTGGATGTGGTGTCATTGTCCTGCCTATCTCACAGAACGCGGCGAGGAGATAAAATTCGTGAGAACCTTCCCAAAAAACTGGTGTTCGATAAGGGAAAGAAATCAGAAGAAAGGATGTGTAGCACTATACGTCACAACAAGAACTGTAGTCGAGAATGGTGAAGAAAATGAATTTATGAAAACTTCCTACAGTTAAATGTGACATCCAGAGAGTAAGCTTAGTTAGAGGAAGTGCCTCAAAGATCACGCGAAACAACATTACGAATTTTGATTTTTGGATTTAGTAAAGATTGTAAACCCAGCAAATTTACCTTGACATGAGCTGTGAAGAGAATAAAATTGAAGGAATAAGAGGAACACAATGTCCCAAAGAGATGATGACAGGAAACCTATATAAGATGCAAGATTAACGCAAGTCTGCAAAAATCTAGTTACCTTTATCCTGATGGAGAACGCTTGTTGATACTCGCTTCAGTACTGTAATTGGACCTTGTGGATGCCCGATCAAATACCGACACGACATGACCGGAGAGGGCTCAAAACATGCAAATCTGTCAGCCAAGACTCAAAACTAACCTCTGCACAGAAATTAAGGTTAACCATGCTGATTGCGCTCTACGAAAACTCTTCCTATAGTATACTTCGTGTTACATAAAAGCGTCCATGTTAGTTTTTCCGCTTTGACGTAAACATTTTCCCTGACGTCTAGCATTATAAAAAACCGTCTTAAACCTTTGACGACAATGCGGATTTGCACGTAGCGTGCTCGTGGGACCACGCCTCTTTTTGGCGCGCCCAACTCTCGCACAAAATGGGGCAAAATTGTCCCTAAAAGCAGTTTTTCTATCAAAATTTTGACTATGACAATAAACAAAATATGACTGCAGTCTTAAGCTTTATGATCATGTATTGTTGGAATTAGAAGTGGAAGTTTGGAAAGAAATCTCGGATTTCAAAGGGAATGGTGTTTGAAAACTCTAGAATTTCAGTGTCACAGTATAAGTTTTTGATATAAGTGTCGATAACCCTTGTTTCTTAAGACTGTGAAACGTAGAGGTCCTGATCTGTAATTCACCTTAAGCTTAATAATGTAAAACACTAGTTAATACATCGCCGAGCGAAAGTGCCATATCCTAAAATTTCATATAAAATAGCTAGTAACAAACATTTCTGCAAAATATGCTAAACATAGGCGTAACGGAGCTTGCTTATAATTACTGATATGTTGAAAATGTTTTAAATGGGTAAAGAAGAAAATTTTAGGGTGGCACCCACCATTGGGTGCCATTGTCCCACGCGACGGTCATAGTGGCACCCACCGGTGGGTGCCATTGTCGCCAAAGGGTTAATTAGGAGACTTCAAGAAGAGGTGAAGTTTCCCCTATCCCCAACCTATCATTTACTTGGTCGAATGAAGTGTTACGAAATGCAACTCGCAGATGCATCTCAAAGTGAACGAGACCGTGGTGACATTCAAAAGTTTGCAGAGCTAATTGTAAGACACCTTTCTGTATATGAGTGGGACGAAGTGGAAAACCAACGGCATTGCTTTCATGGATGCCTATTCCGAGGGGCTTAAGGCCCCGACTCGAACTCATCGATATTAGTCAGACTCGAATTTTTCAGGTTTTCCGTAATTTGTGCCCACTCTGTACAATTGGTAATACAAACAAAGATTCTGAGAAATCGACTGTATATTATTTTTCCAACCACAACCTTTTCAATAGCCGTCACCCAGAATTACTTCCAGGGATAGAGCACGCAGATACAAATGCCTTGTGCTAGGCTTCATCTATACCTATCGTTCCCCTCCGTCGAATGTGAATAAAAGTTCCATTTGCGAATCGACGCTGGTACTGTCAAGTAAATGGAGTTGGGAGGGGAAGGACGAAACACGGCGCAGTGTTTTCCCGACACAGTAACCCAATATTTCGCAGGAAGAGCGAGCTCCGACAAGGCTTGAGCCTACCTCAGCTATACTTTATTTATTTCTTGAAGAATCGTCACTTTCATTGATGACATAATTGACTCATAAACTAATACGTACCAAAGGAACCCGGAATGAGAGTTGATGGATTTTTAAGGGCTTTAATTTGGTTCTGAGATTCGATAACATTGAAGCCTTCAGACATACACCATACCGATGATGCCAATTTGTCTGCTTGAGAGGATTCACCCGATGAAAGGAAATTCTAACGGAAATGAGTCTTAAAGTCAAAATGAGCCACCAAAGTACA